GGGGGGGGGAGAGAGAGAGAGAGAGAGAGAGAGAGAGAGGGATTTCTCCAGGGTACGGGATTTTACTTGAAAAATTCCTGTGGGGGAAGGTGGGCCAGAGATGTTATTGAGCCGCTGCCCAAAGTCTTAAAAAAAAAGTAGTAAGAAGATGCGTTAAATCTTCAAGAAATATTTAATTACTTGAACAAGAGTGATACCTAGAAACCCTTGGTGCTGGCCAGGGTGCATCGGTTAGCAAGTGGCCTAAATTTGTCATCAAAGAATTCAGGAAGTCCTAATTCTAATTTCTGACATCATGCTTGACCTTGAACCTGGGTGTGAATTTGGTGTGACTCCCGACGTATATCCAACCCTTGTACTCCATGTCCTTTTCTGAAATCATGTTTTCTGGTGCCAAGCTCTGAATCTAATCATGATGAGTCTCATCCAGACGTGTTGCATGCCTGCTCTGTGCTTGCCATCATCAGTGTCCTGATATTTCACATCAAAGGGAAAAAGAACCTGCACAGGATTGGATCATTGGGAAACTGCATATCCAATGGTAGTACTACCGTCTTCCCCCGAACACAACGCACTGGAAAGATAGTCTGTATGCATTCATTATCAGGGTGCGTTATGTTCAGGGGAAGACGGTAGCAGAAGCAGCATCTGGGACAGTAGTAGGACTGGTGGTAGTGGTGGTAGTGGTAGTAGTAGGAGAAGCAGTTGATGCAAACAATAAAGGGAAGATTCCTGCACAGACAGGTAGGACGACTGACAGACAGTTTTGTTGGAGTTTCACCGACTCATCAGGATTACGCCAGCTGTGTATATACCCCTGGGCCCCAGCTGCATATGTACCCCCAGTTTCTTGTTTCTTTTATCTCTTTCCCCCAGTTTCTTGTTTCTTTTATCTCTTTCTGCCTACTGTTCGCCTGGCAGATCTCTGCTACTTTACCCAAAAAAAAAGAAAAAAGGTTCACCCTGCAGTTCTCTGTAACTATGTTCCCGGTTATATATACTAGATTACCTGTTCCTTCTTTGCCCGCAAAAGCAGTAATGTAGGGGCAAAAGAAATATAGGATGAGCTGTGATCAAATGGAGCACAATAGGCGCTTCCTTTTTCCTTCCCTTGTTCTGTTCGTCATTCCATTCCTTTTTTGTCTTGACTATATATGCCTTGAAAGTGTGATTCCCTCTCTCTCTTTTTGCACAAAGGTCAGCACGGTCAGCAGATCGGCTAGCCCAATATGCAGGGTGGTATCCATGGATCGGAAAGTCCTGGTGTGCTGACTCTGATCAAGCGAGATTGACGACCTACCTGCAATGGGTTGCAGGACTTGGGCGGATTCAATTAGCTCATTGGCCCAAGTGGGGTGATGATCGTTGGTTATGGAGGTGATGAAGGGATCATTATCGATGGTCTCTCTCTCTCTCTCTCTCTCTCTCTCTCTCTCTCTCTCTCTCTCTCTCTCTCTCTCTCTCTCTCTCTCTCTGTGTGTGTCTCTGTTTGTGTGTTTTGGGCCGTGAACTGACGAGAAGAAAACATAGAAGCAAAGCCGGCTGTAGATTCTGATGCTCATCAAAGTCACCAACCTGCACTTTCATCCCTCAGCCTACCAGATGCCGACAAATTCGTTAAAAACGAAAGAAAAATGAAATGACCAGTTGATTCAGTGGTCGAGCGTTCAGCCTCCTGATGAAGGGACAGACTTTTATGGGAGCTTAACTGACTCATGTGGCATACTGCGTAGCCACACGGGCCCTGCAGGGCCCGTCCCGCACTTTCAGCCTAAAAGCCTAAAACTTAGGGCTTACAGGCCCCGATCGTTCAGCCTGAAAGCTGAAATACAAGGGCCTGCAGGCCCTACTCCATTTCAGCCTATTTCTGGGCCTTTCAGGCCCAGAGGCTTTTTAGCCTGAAACAGAGGGCCATTTTCAGGCCCTCATTGTGTTCGACCTACCTAAGACTCAGGCACGAAAACAGGGTTTCGGAACAGGCCAGAAATAGCCTGTTCCCCACGCCACCTCGAGCAGGAGCTGCAGCTGCAGCCCCTGCCTCCCTGCGGCATTGGCAAGAGCAGCCTCCTGAACTGCTCGCCTGCAGTCAGGAGGCAGACCCG